CCGGTATTAAAACCTATGTTTACACTTTGCTTTGACATTTGTTTAGTGGGTCAACTATTTGCCCATAGTTGGGACTCTAAAAGGTGCTACCACGTCGGGTCAGGATGAACCTGGGAACACCAGCAATTAAGAGATGGTTCCCCACTTCTCAAAATCTCCTGATCAGAGGCCTTGCTGTTGGATGTAATTTATCGTCTTACCCAGGACGCGGATGTAGTTTATCGTCTTACCAAGGACGCGGTCGTAGTTTATCGTCTTACCCAGGACGCGGGTGTAGTTTATCGTCTTACCCAGGACACGGATGTAGTTTATCGTCTTACGCAGGACGCAGATGTAGTTTATCGTCTTACCCAGGACGCGGATATAGTTTATCGTCTTACCCAGGACGCGGATATAGTTTATCGTCTTACCCAGGATGCAGATGTCGTTTATCGTCATACCCAGGACGGTTAGTCTTCTTAGGTGTATAGTCCTTTCGTCTCACTTTCTTTTACTACCTTCTGGAGAAGCCGAATTGATGTTTAGACCTTTACTTCTCGCTTTACTTCACTAACTCCTGCGGGAGTTCCTGCAGTTGCCTTTCTGTGTCCGCTATCAACACTGAGTCATCTACATATCTCAGTTATGTGCCATGCGTGATATACGCTTAGGCGAAGGACGAGTCAGATTTTTTCCCGCAGTAGGTTGCCATTTCTTTGTGCAATAGACCAGTTGTCATCCAAGGCTATAGAACCCGGTCTGTGAGGGGAGAAGAAGAGGATTCATACCTTTCCCAAGGATAATAGCACGTAAGGGAATATGTTCCTTTATGTGCCATGCTTGATACACGCTTAGGCAATCATGTATCTTTCGATACATGACTGACGAGTCAGATTTTTTCCCGCAGTGGGTTGCCATTTCTTTCTGCTATAGACCAGTTGCCATCCAATGCTATAGAAACCGGTCCGTCCTGCTATTTACCCATAGCTGGTGGGAGGAGAAGAAGAGGATTCATACGTTTCCCAAGGGTATTAACACGTAAGTGAATGTAATGGATTTGACTGGAATTCGAACTCGGGTCTCCGATTCCTCAGTCCGAGACGCTATCCATTACTCCACCGTGTTGTTAAAATTGTGGCTGCCAATAATGAATCCTGATAGACCTTCTAATTCTCTCAGAATCGCTTTACTGTTTTTCTTTATCGTTTCACTCCACGCAAGGCGATAATGTCACTAAGGCGCAAGAGTTTACTGGGAGTGAAAAAGAATGAAAAGACATTAGCAGAAGGAACTGAAATCCAATCCTAAACAGTAAACAAGGGATAAACCACTATTCCTGTTCAAAAGACGAGGAAAGGGTGAGAACTGGGCGATAGGCGAACTTATCTACTCCTATAGAATAAGTCCGGTGAGAAGATACATCATTGTCTTATATCTGTTTCTTTTTTTTTTTTTTTTTTTTTCATATATTTACTGAATTTTTCTATCCGCCTGCAGGCGATTTGATCCCAGTATCAGTTCTGGATTATTCTAATATTGTTTCTAAATATGTCAAGGTTACCTCGCAGTTCCAACAGTTCATTGTGAAATAATTTATCAAATGCTTTTGCATAATCTATAAAACATGGGTATATATCCTTTTACATTTATATTGCTCTTTCTGAGCATAAAGGTCGCATTACTGGTGCAGTTAAATTTCTTAAATATCTAGGTATTTATTGACTGATACAAGGTCATATTTTCAAAGTAATTGATAGGAATAGAACTCTCTATCTGTGGATTATGAGAACTATAATACAACAGGTTTTTTGCGTGAATATGTGTATGTGACAATGAATTTTAGTTTTCTAATCTTCTTTGTACGCGTTGCTTTTCCTATCATAAGATATATATATATATATATATATATATATATATATATATATATATATATATATATATATATATATATATGCGCTTTGTGTGGAAGATGGAGTAGTGATATCTATGGGATTATGCGTGTATATCGATATGTGGGCAAAGAGTTAGATGTACGCATGCGTGGTACTACCTTCGTGATGACTCCGATTAAAAGTCGAATAAGATCGAGAGCGTCGCCAACTCCGAAGATGTGACGGCAATAATTTTAAAAATATTTCACAATTACAGAAATATTGCGATGGCTGTCGCTGTCAGTTTTTTTTTGTTTTTTTGTTTTTTTTGCGGCCAATGAAGGAGAGATCGATTAAATCGCCATGATTATTTTTGCTGTTTTTATTCTTTACCATCCATTTCCATCTTTTTAACTGCCACACCATTTTCATTTCAATTCGTTTTAACTATTTTTATTTTTGTCCCTGCTTATTTCACGATTTATAATTTTGTGTGTTTTGTAGAAGCCTATTTCATATTGAATTTATTTTATTTAATTCTTCTCCGCCATCTTTTTTAGATTCATATTTTAGAGATTTTATTTATTCACTTCTTTGCTGTTTTTTGTTTTTGTTTTTTGTTTTTTTTTTTAGTTTTTTTTTTTTTTCTCAGGTATTTTAGTTATAGCTTTAAAAGATAAGACAGATTGCCCGACTGACTCTGCCAATCGAATGGGCACAGAGAGAGAGATTTTGAAACGACGGCAACGAAAAATGGCGGCCATAAAATAAAATGTCGCTTTTATTTCTATCTTTACTATCATTTCTTTTCTTTTTTTTTTCCTTCATTTATTCTTACCTCTTAATCTCTTTCCGTTTCAATTTTCATTTTTATTTTTCATCTCATTCTCATTTCCCTTTTTTATACATATTTTGTTTTTTCCTCTTTCTTTTCTTTGCCTTCAACTTCTTTCCTGTCTTTCTTTCTCACTGTCTCTCTCCCTCCCTCTTTCAATTCCTTTTCTTATTCCATTTTTCATTGTTCTCACTTCATCTGAAGACTTGCAAATATTTCTCTATTTTTAATACGTCTCGGCTCGAAAGGGGAAATCAGAGAACGGTGTTCGAATTTCAGTCGGGTTCGCTGCATTCACTTATGCACAAATACCCTTGGAAAATGAATTCAACTCCTCTCCCCAGTTATGGGTTAAATAGTGTGACTTGTATCTGCAAAAATTCGTTATTATTCTCAAAAATTTGTTAATGCAATATTCACTTGCTAAAATCTAATAATTACTCTTACAATCCAAAATATGTTTCGGTTTTAAATAACTCACAAAAGGTGGGTAAGCCGTAAAAAATAACATCGATCAATCATTAGGGCCGCATGAACTATTGCAAGGATTTTCAGCTTTTTTTTTTTATCTCATAGCACACTTGAATCTATAATTAAACTTCCGCGACATACTTGAACATATATTTAAACCTCCGCGGCAAATTTGAAGCTATAAAATACTGCAGCACACTTGAATCAATAGTTAAACTTCCGCAGCACATTTGAACCTATATTTAAACTACTGCAGGATACTTAAATTATGATGATCAAAGAAAGAGTAAACGTCTTTTTATGATTTATTGTCACAAACAAAACAATTTATTAAGTAGCAGGTATGCGTTTATCTCGCGTGATAAAGGCAGTGTCATATTTGGTCAAAATTCAGCTCTTTAGTAGTGAAACTGGATTGACCTCTCCAGGATCCAAGCCTGGATGATGGTATATAGAGGACGTGCACTGCCCTGACTAGATGTTCCCGTCTTGGCCGTACTGGCAAGATCCAAAAGAATACAGGGCTTTACATTTGGCGACGCCTTGGCTACAGGATCTCCACTCCCGGTTTTGTGTCTGGATTTACTTCCATAGCCTCTTCCGTGTTTGGATATGACTGCAGAGGCAGCGGACGTTTAAAATCAGTTTTCCTTTCCCTAGAGGAACTGCCTTCCTCGGCTGTCGAGCTCCATCTACCCGAAGCAGCTGGTCATGAGGCGTCCATTTTCCGCCTTCGTCCATTCTCCGACTTGGAGCTGGACTTAGTTGTCAGAGCCTACTTGAGACGCTGGTTGAAAATCACTGAACTAAAGTTTTGACCAAATTGATCTTATACCTTCTCGGTTAGTGAGTCTGGTACGATTTTTGCTAAGCAAATCTCGTCCAGTGTTTTGTAATGTTATTTTTCCGCTAATCCACGTGTGAAGTTCTCGTCTCGACGGAGATATTGAAATATATTTATAAACACGACTTGTCTGTCTTCCAAAACGACTTCAATTATTTATTCTTTTAAATGTCACTGCGACGTTGAACATTCAAGCAGGACAACTCAACTTTTGGAGAGGAGGGTTTCACGGCAGGTTCAGGCATTTATGAGGAGAGATTAGATAATTAGCATAAGACATCTGGGTCTGCAATTGCAGAACACCTGATAAAAATCTTGTGCAGACCACACTCCCGATTTCATCTTAAAGGGCTTGAGATAATTTTCATTTCGTCTTGTATAGACAGAAGAGATGGCTGATCGGTCTTAATGTAATCTGAATTTAAATATATTATCGTTAGTATATTACTAACGTGTGTATTCTGTGTTCTTTTTAATCGGTACGTACTTTTATCTTATTATGCTCGGTTGAGTTTTGATAAAAGAGGAGTGAAACTAGTTAACTCCAAATATTATCTTTTATAATTTACTTACTTTTTATCTTACTTTTTAACTGAATATTTTAAATATGTCCGTTTTCCACGCCATAATTAAATTGCTTTTCTTGGCATCACTTTTTTACATATACATGTAAAGAATTCGTTTCATTCTCTATCTGTCGATCTTCCTTTTTTGAACACTTTTCTTTTTTCTTCTTTTCTTTTCTCCCTCTTGTCTTTCTACATCTCTTTCTTTTCGCCGGGTCACTTCTTTCTTCCTTATTTTTTAAACTCTCTTTTCCTCTTCTCTGATTTCTATCTTTTCTTTTCTATTTTTTTCTTGCGTCTTCTCTTTGCTATTTTCTTTCTATCTACCTTTCCAGCTTTCTTTCCTCCCCCTTTTTAAGGTTGCCTTTCTTCGTTAACTCTTCCTTTTCATCTTTCTGCTCTCATTTTCCCCGCATCCTTCTCTCTGTCCTTTTATGAACATTTCTCTCTCTCTCTTTCCCTTTCTTTCTGTCTGTGTTTTTGACACACACAAACCTTACGTTTTCTCTTTTTTATTTCTTTCCTTTTTATCCATGTGACTGCTCCATTGTTTTCCTACTTTTTTCTTCTTTTCTCTTCTTTGTCGGCCATTTTAACCGTTCTTTTTCTTTTTTTATCTAAATACTTTCCTTTAACTTTTTTCACCTTTCCTCTTCTATTCTTTGTCCTATTTTTTCTTTCTGTCTACCTCTCTAGAATGCTTTTCCCTTCTCTTTGTGAGATTGTCTTTCTTCGTTAACTCTTTCTTTTTTCACATTTCTACTCCCACTACCCCTGTTTCCTTTTCTCTGTCCTTTTCTGAATATTACTCTCTTCTCTTTTCTCCCCCTCTCTCTCTCTCTCTCTCTCTCTCTCTCTTTGACATACACAAACCTTACCGTTTCTATGTTTTCGTCTCTTTCCTTTTTATCTGCGTGACTGCTCGATTGTCTTCCCTCTTTTACTCCCTCTCTGTCGTTTGTTCTATTTCTTTCGCTCTTTCTCCTTTTTTAAATCTTCTTTCCTATTTGTTTTTAGGTTTTTTTTTGGGGGGGGGGGGTTCACCCCTTCTATTTCGTCTTGCGACTTCTCTTCCTCGCCTTGTTTTTCTTTCTCTCTTTCTTTTCCACTTTTCTTTTAAGCATGTCTTTCTTTGTTGACTCTTTCGTTTTTCTTTTCGTCTTTCTACGCCCACTCCCACTTTCACTGTTTGTTTCTCTCTATTCTTTTTTGAATATTTATTTTCTGTTCTATTTTCTCTCTCCCACTCTCTCTTTCTCTTTCCCTATCACTTTCTTATTCTTTTTGACGCTGATACACCTTAGTGTTCTTTTTTCTTTCTTCCTCTCTTTCCTTTTTATGCCTGTGACTGCTCGCTTTTCTTCCTTTTTTATTTATTTTCTCTTCATTACTCATCTCTCTCTCTCTCTCTCTCTCTCTCTCTCTCTCTCTCTCTCTCTCTCTCACGTCTCCAAGAATTCAGCGAAAAGAGAAACGATTTCCTGA